TTTGCTATATTTTAATAAAAAACCGTGTTATTTAAGAAGTTTTTTTTATTTATTTAAGAGTATATTAAGTATCACTTTTTTATATGTTTATTAATAACTATTTATAAATTATTAAATTATATTATTGCTTTTTTAATATTTAATATTTTTCTTATTTTAACTTAAGTTATATATTCTTTTCATTAATTAATCTAAGCGTATTAGTTTTTCGATAATTTAATTAAAATAATTATACGTTTCTTATATTTAATTTATGCTTTTATTAACTATTTTTATTTATCTATACTTATTAATTTTTAAAATTTCAAATACTATTCACGTATATCCGTGTTTAATTTACATATCGTTTTAAAATAACTTAATATCATTATTTTATAACATAAGTTTCTAAGTTTTATAATACTTTTTTACTTTTAATTATATTCCTTTTTCTTTTCTTTAAATAACATTAAGTTTATATTAAATTATTGCAATTATATTCCGGTTAAATAAATAATATTAATATATTTTTAACACTCTTATCTTAAGATATAATCCTTAATCCTAAGCTTTATTAATTCTTTTAACCATATATACCTTAGGTTATTAAGTTTTACATTATTTAAGATTAATTTAATCTTATTTTAAACGTGTAATCCCATTATTATTTCTTAAAATATAAGATTTTATGTGTCTCATTAATTTACTCCTTTAAGCATTAAGATTAAATCTTCACGGTCCGGCATATTTACAAGTTATGTTTAATCCCATTTAAGTAAAATATAATTAATATTAATACTTTTTATAATATTTTTAAGATATTTACATATAAAACTTTTAATTATTAAATAATACAATTATTAAGATAAAAATTATATTAATTAAAAAAAAATAATTCTATAAATAAACAAAGGATTTTAATAAATATATATAAATATAAACACATTACCCATTAAAATATCACGTGGACGAGTTGCCCACGTAATCAACCAGAAATCACATGACCTTGTTCTGACACCTACGGTCTGGATTATGGAACATATTTCGAGTTGATCAGTCTCATTTTATGTTGCTATAATGTTGCATACCCATTAGGCGAGCCTCAAATCGGCAGCACCCTATTAGCACTACGCCAGCGTAGCTAGGAATGAGATGAGCTTTCTTCCTTCTCTTCTCCCGTGTCGTGGTTGCTAACACATAGTGGTGGGGGTTAAACGAGTGTGGAATCGCGAACGATTATAAAGGTGAGAAAAAACGCCTCCCTGAAACCACCCTTCCCTGCGCGCGCGCCTTCCTGCTCTCCTATCCATTACTCAACGCCATAAGCGGCTCTCGTAAACAACTATGCTGTCTTCTTGTCGGATTTACCCTTATTTAAGTCGAGCGGCGGAATGTCAGCCTCGGGAATCAAATTCCCGCCACTAGCCGCAGCAGGTTGGTCTGGATCTCTAGTTTAGCAGGGCATCAAGATAATGGAAGATTGTGTGACATACGATCTGAACAGTACGCAGTGTCTGCAACTGCCTCTTTCGTGCAGCCACTATGTTCGCATTTCTTTGCCATTTTGGACTCGAGGGGGCTGGTTGTCAGGAGCTTGAAAGCGAGGATGTTGTTGAAATTTAGATTTAAGGCTTGCCTTGGTGAAATTTGAATTTGAAGGTGGTTGATGATGAGAGCAGATATGAGGAAACAGAGGAGTTGCGTGTCCATTATATACTCAGAGACTTCGCGTAAACTCCCTGACAGGTCTAGCATGTTGGCGAAGTTGACATATAATCGGCCTGCTTTCTGTCTTTAACCGTGAGAGTTGAACCACACAAGATCGTGACCAACAACTACGGTTGCTCGGTTGCTGCTGGTGTGTTTGTTGAATTGTTTAACATCTAAATGGTAAGGCCGTTAGGCCTCCCCATAACCTCCCTGAGGGTTTGGGACGTAACAAGCTCTAATATACAAGATATGGGTGCTTAGTGCAGATACAGCCCACATAATTCTCTTCTTTAGATGTTGAACGTTGCCGCTTGGGGCTTGTTATTCCTTGATATGAGATCACCACCTGTCAATCTGCCATATCCTCAACCTTGTTGGCTTTCAACATGCCTCATACTAGGTTATCCTAGTTGTTGGTATAGGGGGTGTCGGTACTCCATTCTCCGGTGACTTTTGATGCCCTTAGTTGGGGCTGTCCATAACCGGGCTTAGGCATATTCGATGGCTATATGTGTGATATGTTTCGGTCTTTCTAGGCCAACTATTTAATTTTTGCTGGGTTGTTACGAGTCTTAGCCTCCTTGTGCGCTATTTTGGATGTACTATTTGGCGTACACCCTTACATTTAAACTGCCTCATTGTGTTGCATTTAGGTCTTGTTTATTCGACATCTGTTAGTGGGCATTTGCGGTTAGGAACTTTGTCAATATTTTCATATTAATTTGAGTTAGTTCGAAGGTGATTGACGTGTACCTATATTTGTGGGTATTGGGCAGTTATTTTGGATTGGTGTAATCTTAAACTATTTCTACCTCAGCCTCGAAATGAAGCATTGGTAACTTGGTTTTCTTTATTGTTATATGTTAAGGGGCTTAACAACATAAAAGTTAGTACGAAATCTTATATATCAGTGTTGGTATGTTAGAATTGTTGGTAATGTTTATATATATAATGTGTGAAGAATGTTATGATTTCGTTGTTGGTGATGTTTTTACATTTAGCAAAGTTGCGGGTCTGCGGCAACCAAGTGAGAAATATGAAAGGACGATAGCTTCTAAGGTTGCTTTACTCCTAACTACGATGGCGCAGTGCCAATATCTAAGGCAGCCCGACCTAACCTAGTGGAGCTGTGCCACCTAAGGTACCTACCTAGGTTAGTTGCAACACCTAATTCGGCTGCTGCGATGGAAGTGTTAATAGGTGATATTCACCTTTATATTCGTATTATTTCCATTTCATTGCATTTGTGTCTTATCTAGGTACTTAATATATGTTGCCCGGCCTTCGAGGTTACAAACTTTGCCAACATGTATTGCTGCCAGGTGGTCACATGACTAACTAACCTGGGCACGTGGTCTATCGAGCATTTATCTCTGGATTACTTGATCTGGATTCGGCCATATATCCTCAACCATAATGGCAGAGCTTCGCTTGTCCCTTTTCTCTTTTTAATATAAGACTCCTACTAGACCTGGCGCTCTTCTTACTATTATTGACTAAGCACACTTGATACCATGTGACATATATGAGCTTGAATTAGTTTGGTGATAATTTGAATAGGTACCTAGGTACATATAGCTCTGTTTTAAATAGTGCCATGCAGGAGTCAGGACGCTGAATGCAGTGTACTAAATGGAAAGTTTGAGGAGATTAACTAGGTTAGAAGCTATTCCGGTTGCCATATTCGGGCAAGCTCGTATCTTACAACGCTGATCACGTGCCATTTGAGACTTTAAGGCTCAAGGCTCGTGAGGCCCAAGGGGCTACCGAAATGAGTGTATTGGAACTGCTTTTAGGTACAGTACATTGATTCACGGCAAGGATATGTATAGAATCCAGGGATGCCCCAATAGGTAGCGTATGAAGCTCTGAGTTACCTAGGTAGCTAAGTCAATCAGGTACATATTTAAGCTCATGTACCGTATGTTTTACCAGGGGACTCTCAAGGCCTCACAGCATTTCAACCTTAAATACATACCTAGTAGTTATTATATATCAGTTGGTATGAGTAATCTAAAACCATTTCGAAGCCTTGAATTAAAGTTCAAAACGTTGGTTTCCTTATCGTTATATGTTTATGTCAACATCAATAATAGATGTGTACCTATACTGGAGTAGGTACCTATGTCAGAGGTATTAGTAATATTTACACACATCATACATTGGGAAGGGTGGGATTTGGCTGCCAGTGGTACTAGAAATAATGTTGGTAGTATTTCTTACACCCAACAACCTAGGAATGCTGCGATGTAACTGGTACTTGGTATGTAAATAGCTTTTCAATTGGCTCGCTTGTACACTTGGGCAAGGAAGGCTGCCTTCAATGTTGTCCATTCCAAACCGGGTGAGTCACTACCTACCTAGATACCTAACTAGCTGGGTAAGTCGGTCGCGAAGCGGTGGGTTCTTAATATGTAGAGTTAGTATTTACCTATACAAACCGACTCTCCTTTATTTTTCAAGAATATAAAAGTCATCAACCACCCCAACCCAACAACATGAAGTTGCCCTGTGCGATTCAATCGTGTGCTCAGCCGGCTTTGAGGCAGCTCGACAGACTGTGCAAGCTTTGCCACCAGCATTTCTGCACAGAACATGTGTAGTCGGCCCTGCAGACTTGACTTACAAACAAGGTTCGTGCGAACAGATAAATAGTACTTGGACGACGCCATAATGTCTAGCACGGGTACAGGATATTGTCACGATATGAGTCTGGGGACTGATCCAAGCTCCAAGACCTAGATTTCGTCGGACGAAGGGCAGGAAAAGAGGCGACCTCCAGATTGCTAGCAACCATTCAAGGTTAATAGCGATGCCCTTCACGCACACGTGTAGAGCCTTGTCATTCGTTTGCTCCCTCAATACCTATTATTGCGATTTATCTTCGTTGGCTAAGTAACTCGCGTAGCACAGGTTCGGGAATTAGCGTGGACCGGGCCGTCCCGCAAGCCGACATATACGCCATTGAAAAATAGGGGGGGGGGGGGCTGGAACACTCAGCGATCACGACGCGAATCAATCATTTATCGTCGAAACAAGCTACGTGCAGTACTCCTCACTTAAATCGCTATATCTGCTTTCATTATATTTTGCAATCAATACAAGCGCGGGAATGAGGTTGAATTCAACTCGTATAGTGGGATCGTTAGATGTCAAAAAAAAAAAAAAAAAAAAAAAAAAACCCCTCTCCATGAAAGGGGAAAAAAGACTTTCCTCCTAGCACCACGATTAATTATCCACCAATTCCCAGCCAATATAACATTCAGTTCAGAAATGCAAAGCAAGCGCACATATAGTTCCAACTATAGTCCAAATTCCCTGCGCCAAGTGCGGTGAAGATGTATAGGTCTTCGAAGGTGGTCGTGCAGGTGTGTGTAAACCCCGGGCGCCAACACGACTACCTAGTACCGGTACATGTTTCTCTTTATAAATGCAACGATATCGTCAACTCCCTGCGGCTCATTGATCCAATGACCTCCATCGCTATACTCCTTCCACTGGATTGGTCGCAGCGAGTCGCTCAGAATATCGCGAAGACGTCTCCCGCTCTCAATCGGAATCACCTCGTCGTCGGCACAATGAGCCAAGAATGCCGGCGTTGGTAGAACCAAGGGGAACCGCGGCATGTGCCTTAGTCTGGGTACATACGAAGCAAGCCCGCTGGAGAGGCCGATCAGTCCGGCGAACCGTGCCTGAAAAGTCAACTCACATGCCGAAATAGGAGTTGGGAAGCCTTGGCCTATCCATGCCAGGAAGATTCTGTTGACAGGGACCTGGTAGACTTCTTCTTCGAGGCCGTCTGTGATTTGTGAAATACCGCTGTATCGCAAGGAATGGTTGAACCTTAGTGCTTCATACTGCTCGTTATACCACCTGTGGAACCATCGCGACATGTCTAAAGGTGGTGCTCGAGGGAACACCCATTTTATGGTGGGGAAAATATCGCGAAGAGTTCTTGGTTGTCCTTCTGGTTGCGAGGCTTTGCACTTGAATAATTCGCTTGACAGTTCTGAGGCGCTACTACCCGGACCGTGGAACCAGATGACTGTGTGCGTGTGCTCTTCACGCGGGGGAAAGACGAGATAAGAAAATGGTGAGTGTGGGTCCATTGCTGAGTTCTGATTGTCTGTTGAGAGATTGATTTGATGAACCGATCCTTCTCAAAAGTGCAGATGAAATCTTGTGGACAAGTGTTGCGTGAGTGATTGTTGCGTGTGTTGTGAAGACAGAGGTCAACAACCACAAGTCGCCTCTTTATATACTCAACTGTATTGACACTCGCTTAAGCTTTTAGGCTTACTGCTATACATTTATGCTTAAGTTCTGATGGCTGCTACCATGTCTCACATTTAAGATTCAACATTTAAACTTCAATATTCCAGAGTCTATCTCAGAGCTGTAACTCTCCTGCCACAGCGCTTTTGACTAATCAAAAGCCTAGATTGCTCAGGTAGTCAATACTCATTGTGTACTTTTCAACTTCGTGAAATTCAGTTGCCCATATAGCTGAAAAGAAAGGATAATTCCTTCTCGATAGCTTTTGTTGGACGAATGTTTAGCTACGTGGCTCAATTATAAATATTAGTAGTCGGGTTAGCTTCTTCTCCCTGTTCTTCAGAGGTACCTAGGTTAGTTGATTAATTTCAATCACATGAAAAACCCTCCAAAGCCACATATACTTAACCATCGTCGTTCTTCCATGGCTTTATCGCATTCTTCATATGACAAGCTATTATATAGTAGCTATACCAATAATAGTTATAGACGAGAATAGTGTACCACTTAACCTTAGGTAGAGCATTGGCGTGGCGCACTCACAAGGTTCCCTCCGCCAATAGAACGCCGCTATATATAGCTCCACTTTCCTAAAGGGGGAGGGGCTATTTTGAACCATCGCCCCTTGGGTACCTATGTATCTAGTACCCTTCAATGTTGTCTCTTCACATGCATGTGCATCCTCTACATGTATCGTACCTGTCAACACACCTCCCCGAATTCCCGCTTCCCTTCTCCTCATCACCTCTACCCCCCTCGGCGCATATCCATCCAGGCCTACCTACATCCAGTGACGAGCGCTTCCCTTTACATTGTCGAGCAGCCTAACTTATCAGCACCAGCGTTGCAACGGATTGCCACATCAATGTACTGCTTACATACCTGCTCTTTGCGATTGATGCGACGGCGCTACAGCAAGTACATAAGACCGATAACGATCAACCATGCAGAGCGTGTCGGCAGAAGTTAGGTTAGGTTAATCTAGTCGGCCGCTACCGCATATCGGCGTCTTGAAGCGCGAGTCCTCGTCCTCTTCCTCTACTTCTTTTTCTATTATTTCCTTTACTCCCGTCCCAGCTCCCCCTTCTCCCGCGGCTTGGCATGTCCGGACCCATGCCATTCCATCCCCGACGCCCATGGATACCTACCGGTTGCAGGTGCCTGAGGCTCTGGGTGTGCTGGAAGAAGATGTGTGTTTCTTTGAACGAGCTGTGGAGGTGTTACATTGGCGTAGGTAGAGTTCTCATATACCCCGGTCTACGGTCGTCAGTCATGAATTTATCACACGAGATAAGAGTTTGGTTATAGTGAGTCAAATTAGATCTCGTTACAACGCCGGCACTAGATACTTGAAAAGGAAGCAACTTCATTACAAGGAATTCAAGAAACTATAGGTATCTCCCAATTTTCCACATCCCTCTCACAATTGCCAAGACGAACGAAGCATTAGTGTCATAAATCATTAAACATCCAACACTTTTACACCATATCGTCACCTCTCCTCGCCGTACCACTGCCAACCGGTTTTCTCGCGAACCCCCCGGCTCCAGCGTGGCCACTCGTGGCAGGACCGCCATGATGCCAGTTCGATGTACCCGCACCCGGGCCCCAGCCTGCTCGTCGAGTGAACACGGCATCCATTAGCTCGGCGCCTTCGTATGTATACATACACGGCTGTCCACGGTGCAGAGGCACGTGGTTCCAACGCCAGTCCCAGATCGACGCGTAGCACATGCGGTAAGCGGAGAACGCCATGACGGATCCGATGATGGCGCCTGCAACGACATCATACCAGTTGTGGAATTCGTCAATGGTTAGAGCGCCAGCAATGAGCGTAGCTCCAAGGACAGGTGTGTAGATGGCGACAAGCTTCCACATGGCGGGGTGGTAGTTGGAAAACGCCTTCAGTTTGGCATTGAGGTAGATGGCAAGGTAAATAAAGCCCGCGAAGGCCGCGGTGCTGTGACCTGACGGGAAAGATTCGAGGGAGTCGTTGATCTCCTTTTCGTCGCCCGTGCAAATCTCCTTCGTGAAGTATATCCCTGTGTAGCCCGCGCCGTTGTATCCTGACCCCTCAACTCCAGGGGCGTTGCTCGCGAGCGAGAAATCCGGCTTACAGACGTCGAGGAAATGCGGCCTCAATCCTCCGATCAAACACTTCAAAAAGACCTGGAAGACGGCGGCGGTAATTAAAGAGTAGAGGAGCCCGATAATGCCGTTGTTGACGTCCCAAAAGCTGCGAACGCGAATTTGCATGATCAGGATGATGACGATGGGGACAACAGCTGCTAGGAAAGCGGCCAGCCAGATGGGAATGATCTCCTTGCGCAGAGGAAGCGCAAACTCCGGATTGACCACCTCGCCGTCGGAGAAAGTCACGGCGAAAGAACGAGTAGGAGCTGGAGGTGCCTCGTATACCTGCGTTAAGTGTTAGCGAGGTAGTGAATTGGAGCATGCGAGAAACTTACACCAAGTCCTAGGGCGCCTAGGAGTATCATGGTAAGAATATCACCCCAAGTGACTTTGAGCCACTGCCCGAATGATGGGCGGGTGGCCATCGGGTAAGCCATGCTGTCGTTGGCATGTCCGTTGGCATGACGATCTCGGCGACTTCGACGGGTGCCGGTAGTAGTTGGACCAGCTTCAGCGCCGTCTACGCGACTACGACCAAAAAGAGGCATTTAGGATTGTCGTGAGAGTCGGAAGTGTTGTAGAAGAGAGAATTGTTACTGAAAGAGTTGAAAACTTCAAAGTTGTTGATAGTCCCGCGTGTAATGCACACAGGATATCAGTCCTGGTCGAGTTCCCGACAGGGAGGATGCTCGAACTGGGCGGAAAGAGTCAGGGGAGATCCAGGAACGAATTAAGGTATGGGTTGTCAAAATCGAATCGAAGTGAAACAGAGTTGGGCTTGACCCTAGTTTTAACAACATAGCACTTGCACCTTTGTGATGACTCCACTATCAAATGACATTGGCTCAGGCGTTGTGCTGGTTAGGTATTGACGTCATGACTAAGTTTTGCCAGCTGTGACATGGACAGGCCATGCTTAGTTAATTGGTAGCTATCCTAGGTGGTAATTCGTAACACAGACGGCCCCAGCTTAGAATCCTAATCCAATCAACAGTCTTGTCGGTTGAACAATTTCTTCAAAACGCAGTTGTAGAATCGGCGATGCGTTGGTACCTATTAGTCCTTACCTTGACTGACCCTGTCTGACGAATTTGATTCGTCAACCCCAGACTTGGACGTCATGAAGCTTAACAAACTTGGCACGACTTGGCAAATGCTTGTCTGATTGATCTTCGAATCTACACATTTAGCACCTATTCTTCGTGACAGTCATGGCCGTCATAAAACAAACATCTTCTAATTGTATTTCATAGTCCCTGTATTGATATTAATAAATTGTTTCGTATAAGAGTAAGGATTCCATTCACCTCCTTTACAGAGGTATTGTGCCTAACTGTCACACTATTGGGAAATTGGAATACCTCGTGGCCACTGGTTAAGTAGTCGGGCCAACCTCCAGCTACCTACTAGTGATTGATCCATAATGCAAACACACTAAAAGTCTAGTCCTTCACTGCGCGACGCCGTAGCAGTCGGGAATTTTCCATAAAAGTCGAACTATTTTCGGCACACGGCACACATGACCTTTGTATCCATTTGATATTTCGAGACAATGACGGCTAGATGCCTCCAACTAGTCTAGTACGCGTAGTGTATTGTCGGGAAATTTGTGATACCTTAGTGGCGGCCCAATTTTGAAAACTTCCCAGGTGCTTAAGGTTAGATGTTTTCCAAAGGGGGCTCTAGAGCTCTTTGTCGCAAATCAACGTCATCCCGCTAAAGGGTCTAGGCAGGTTGCTGTCCGCTGTTTGCCCCATCAAACCTTCGTATCGTCTTGCGAGGCGCATTGAAAGTTTCAGAGTCCCGGCTAAATGGCACAGATGAGATCAAATCCATAAAATTGAACCATCAAAGAGGATTAATTCAAGGTTGAAGTGGGTACGAGGTTACCTTCGGAGGTTATTGTCCTTTGGTTACGCCACGCCTAGAAATACATGTGGCGCAAAAGCTGAGGTTTGTGGTGGAGTCACGGTTCCACCACTTCAATGTCAATTCTATCAGACGCGCGTATGTGTAACTCGAACAAAGATTCTATGTGTAACTCGAACAAAGATTCTGTCAGATCCCAATTCGCCTTAAGTTTGTTTGCATGTACGACTCAACCGTTGAAAATCAATGGAATCATGCTGTCGATAAACATCGATATGAAGGTACAGAAAAAATCTATGGGATATCATGAATGCTACTTGTCTACCCTAAGTACACCAACACCATTTTCTCTTAATCGAAGAACATACTATGGATACATACTGCTAGGTAAGCAAGTACATACGCACGGCAGGTAAACTCCGAGCGCCGCAAACCAAACTCCGAGATCAAAGCAAGGTGGGTGGAAGGTCTCGATTGAGTTGAGTCCTCTACCATGCCGTATGGCCACCGTCGATAACGAGGTTATTTCCAGTCATGAAGCTGCTGGCGTTGCTTAGCAGGAACAGCGCCGCTCCCTTGAACTCGCTGGTTTCTGCCAGTCGGCCCACTGTGTAGATGAATTAAAAGTTAGAATGCTGCTTACTGGACGCAATTGAAGAAGAAATATCTCGGCGAAAAGACCCTTGAAGAAAAAAAAAAGGAAAAAAGAGGCTTACTCATATTCCCACTCTCCCACTTCTCCCGCAACCCCGGCACCTCCTCGAAGTTCTTGCGCACCATGTCCGTCAGGATGTGTCCGGGGCTGATGCAGTTGACCCGGATGCCTCCCGTGCCGTCTTTGCGTATGGGACTCCACTCCATGGCCAGATTGCGGGCGAGCTGGATTACGGCGGCTTTCGAAGAGTTGTACACCTAGAGCCCGCAATGTCAACAGCAGTTTCCTAGTAAGATTTCAATGGTGAAAGCGGTAGCCAACTCACCGGCGACAGCAACCCCCGATTCGCAATGCTCCCCGACATGCTGGCAACGAAGCACATGCTGCCGTGGATCCGGTAGCGGAACATGGCGCGCGCGGCGCTCGTCGCCGTCATCATGACGCCCGTGAAGTTGACGTCCAGCATCGCGTTCACCTCCTCCCTCGTCCACTCTGCGGCCGGGCACAGGTGCTGGACCCCCGCCGCGGCGATGACGCCGTCCAGGCGCGCGTGCGTGTCGGCGATGGCCGTGATGGTTGCGTCGAGCCCCGGGGAGTCCTGCACGTCCTGCTGCTTGTACGACAGGAACCCGCCGAATTCGGAGGCGCGGCGCGATGCCGAGTCCCATTTTGAGTCGGGGGCGGGTTCGCGGTCGAGGCAGTAGACTGTGAATCGTAGTGTCTTATTGTTAGCATAGGTAGGTAACATCATAAGTAAACGGGAGGTCATATGCCGTAGCGTAGGTTAGGTAGTATGTCTCGATCGTAGAGAAAAAACTTACCCTTCCCCCCCGTCTCCGCCAGTGCCTCCGCGAGCGACAACCCCAGCCCGCGTCCGCCACCGGTCACGACGAACACCTTCCCCGCCAAGTCGAAGTCAGCGAGCCGCTTCTGGCCTATGTTCTCGCGTGGGTCCGGCGCGATGCCCACCGTGGGATTATCCCGCGACTCGGGGGGTGTCGGGACCGTGTCCGTCTTGCGGCTGAATTCGGTCGCGGCCTTGCTGGTGGTTGGCGCTGTTGAGGTGGGGTTTGAGAAGTGTATTTGTCTGAATAGTTGCGCAGAAATAGCAGTTCTCGTAAGACTAGAGGGTGCGCCGACGCGCGGGCACCGTCGGGCTAGTATTCTCGCGCACGAAGACATGGTGTTTGTGGTAGTTAAGATAAGTAGGTATATTCGCCAAAAGTGCAGTAAGTACCAAGAAGTAAGCTATGATTTCGTGTTTGGGAAAGTTACAATGAAAATCCCTTGGGGGGGTACCGGGTGTGGTTTATAAACTGCAGACGCCCGATGCCTGAAGTGGCACAAGTCCTACATACGTATCGCGGTCGGGTGAGACGGTCCAAGTAAAAGATCTCGTACGTGTGTAATTGAAAGTATCGTGATCTATGTAGAAGCAGGATAATTTCTTAATGTCAGATCTTTTCCAAGGCGGTGGGCGCACACACGCGTAATATATATATCTAGGTACCTATGTAGGATAGGATAGACAGCCAATGTATCTTCTCGTGAGATTCCGTGTCTGGCCATAATGGAGCTAGCCCCCGAGTTCAAAGCTCCAATCGAGACTCATCAGTGACATCCCCCAGTTGATATCTCATTCTGCTTATACCTAGCCGCCTCTAAAAGTCAATTCGACCTGTCGGCTGCGTAGCTTTGGAGTAGTACAGGTATAGATCGCCCATAGCAACGTGTGGACTTTGCCTTCGGCCGATATGGAGATGGGAATCCTGACGTCGGACAAGACGCAAGGCACGGTATTTTCTGGTCGGTTTCTTGAATTCCCATCAAACAGGCCCAGGTCTGCTGTAAGCACAATACATAGTACATAGGTACCTACCCATGTAGTACTAGGTACACAATAAGAGACATTGCCATTGATTAATGTATCTACGTACATATAGAATATTCCAAAGATTCCAAAGCGTCGTTTGTTAGCAACAGTGACGTTAGTGCGAATCCTGCGCGAAACCGCCCCGGGGTCTATCGTGGACAAGGACCCTTACCTACATCTGGTACTCCCCCCCCCCCAACCAATCGAACGCTTCGATTTCCATGCCCTGGATAAGTTAGGTAAGGATCCCCGGCAAGCTGATCTATGTAAGAAGTCCCGGCAGGATGCCTTTCTTACTGTTCAAAAGCGTAAAGCTGGAATAATAAAGTGCGTCATTCATCGGAGGAGACGCTCCAAACTGGGTGCGAATAGTAATATGTCAAGCAAGCCACATGCCCCTTTGATCTGCTATGTAATTAGCCACTGCGCCCCATAGCCACTTGGCTACCTACTTTACCGTCTACCTAGATTAGGTGATTTGATCAGATGGAAAAGGAATCAATGCAGATTTCCAAAACTGTGTCTATGATAATTATACCTACTTTGTTTCGGTAGGTATTGCTGCACATGTGGGAATGCGTTAGTACTCTGACATCATAGCAGCAGTGTTTCTAATCCAGACATCTCGCTTACGAACAGGGGATGGTGCATACATGTATCTACAACATGGCTGCTTAGGGACAGATCTGTCATTAGAGGTGAGAACTGACCTACTTCCCGAGATCGCCAAATAGGTAAATACTCCCTGCTTACTACTATTTCATCATACAGATATATATACCTATACCTATATTCCCATCCATGTGACTTGCTCCCGTACCACGATAGTGAGTCGCCATATTAATCCTGACTCGGTATTGTTTTGCCTTAGACATACGTGGGGGTTAGACCCCTGATTGGTCCAAATCGTTTGACAGAAAACTGTCGCGGAATACGACGGCAACTTGCTAGGTGGTCACAAATAGTTATATGCAGTGACCGAGACTGTCTCGTAGAACCAGGACGGAACCCTCCCCGATCAGCACTAGAAAATTCACCGTAGAATGCAGGCAGGCTATCGTTTGTCGGGTTTCAAATTAAGGTCTAGGTCGTAGAAATATTAAGTAGCTATCATTGTCCCCGAAATCCCTACAAGATGACCAAGATATGCGTCCATGTAGCAAGCGTACAAGGGATGGATGACCTTAGCTAGGTATTGTACAAGTTGTACATTTCTCAATAAAACTCGTTCGTGTTGATATCAATGCATTTTGCAGCCAAACGCCATTCAATGCCCACGACAGTATACCGCACCAAATAATGCCTAGGTAATGTTAGGTAAGGTACTAACCCGACCTCCGCTTTCCCGTCCCGAAATATGTTTTCCGTTACCGTCTCCCGCTGCCATATCCCGCTACAATATCCTGCTTCAATATTCCGCTACAGTCCTCTACTACCGTCTTCCGCCCCGTCCACCTCCCATCATACCGCCCATGCCCATACTCTCCATCATCTTTTGCATGTCCATGCCACCCGGCATGCCGCCTCCGGCACCGCCAAACATCCGTGCAAGGCTTGCCATATCCGGCATGCCGCCAGCTCCGGCACCGCCCATGCTTTGCAATCGCTTCTGCATGGCAGCCATCTGTTGCGCTTTGTTACCTCCGCCCATGGCTTGCTGTGCTCGCTGCATATTCTTCATGCTGCCGCCCATCTTCTTGGCCATACCTGCCATCATGCGCTGCTGTGTGAGCAGATCTTCGACTTCTCGGACGCTGACGCCGCTACCACGAGCCACCCGCGTCATACGCGTTGGCTGTTCGATGAACAACTTTCCATCGCTGTCGAGCTCTTTCTCGGTCATACTGTCACAAATGTAGATCATACGCTTTAACCGCGCGCTAGATTCCTCATCATCCATCCCCGCCATGCCTGGCAAGTTTGACATGCCGGGAATCATACCCGCCATCTTAGAAAGGGGTCCCATTTTCATGATGTTACTTAATTGGTCCCGTAGATCGCGTACTGTAAAGATGCCTTCTGTTATGTGTTTCATCGTTTCCTTTTGATCCAACTTCAAGGATTGCACGTGCTCCACTAGACCCGCCATGTCGCCCATTCCCAGTAGCTTGTTCACGAATTGCTGCGGGGCAAATCTTTCTAGATCCAACATGTGCTCACCAGTACCGATAAAAACGATGGGTGTATGTGTGGCAGCGACGGCGGATATAGCTCCACCTCCACTAGCATGGCCATCCGTTTTCGTGATAATGATCGCTCCGAAATCTGCGGCCTCTTTGAAAGCCTTGGCCTGTGCTTCGGCTTGTTGACCGATGGAAGCGTCGAGAACCATAATAGTCTCGTCGGGCTTTACAGCCTCCTGGATATCCACCATCTCCTGAAACAGGGCTGATTCTTGTCGATGACGTCCAGAAGTATCTACAATGATGACTTCAAAGCGTTCCTTCTTGAACTTGTCCACACCCTCCTTTGCGACCTTTGCTGGATCTGTCTCGGTCAAGGAACCATAGTATGGAATTTTGGCTTTCGTCGCATTCTGTTTCAGTTGATCAAAGGCACCAGCTCTAAAAGTGTCGGCACAGACGAGACATGCGCGGAATCCTCTAGCTTGGTAGTGTCGTGCGAGTTTCGTACACGTTGTAGTTTTTCCGGCACCTTGTAAACCAACAAACATGATGACATTCGACTTGCCCTTCTTGGGCTTGAAAGGTTCGGCATGGGGATCGACAAGTTTAACCAATTCATCGAAGACAGCTTTTTGGATTAATCGTTTCTTATTGACGCCAGGTGGTAGATCTTTGAAGTTGACGGTGGTGCTTATTGAATTCTTGAGCTTGCTAACAAGTCGCACGTTGACGTCGGCTTCAAGGAGAGCGCCTGATATTTCGTTAAGCATAGATTTGAAAGCCTACAGTGCATGTTAGTCAACATTAATGATATGCTCCATGAGGATGGCGATGGCGACATAGCGCATTGAGCGAGTAATACCTTTTCATCGAGATTAGGTGCTCGAGTAACATCATGCAAGGCGCCGCTGATGCGACGACCGAGATCTTGAAGAACCATGATGTGTATTTGGTGGCTATGAAGCCGCCAGAGGATCCAATACCAATAGCAAACTGACGAAGGGTAAGTATGAAGTTTAGGTGTTGATGAATTATTTGCCTTGGAGGTGATTTGTTCAAGTTTGAATAATGTAGACAGTTCGCGCTGCAAGCTCCGAGTTACAGTGAATGTGGGGTGGCACTTGTAGCATAGATGAGGAACAATGTTTATTCCGGTACCCCGCGTACAAGGTTTAGTTACTACCTGGTCTCTTCAGAGTTATGTAAGCCGACAGCTCTGCAAATCTCCAACTTTGAAGTTGAAACTTGACATGCACGTGCATGTCACGTACATTAATAATACTACCTAGGTACATAGGTATCCATTATCAACTATGTACATTGTACCTTCTTCTATTCCTCCGAAATCCTGGCTAGTTTACGATACATAGGTACATACATAGTACTAGGTACTACGGTACTAAGTGTCTGGAGACTGGCGCATCATGTGCAAGTACCTAAGTACTAGGTATTCCAGGCAGCGGCAGAATAGGTAATAGGAGGTAACTAGATCCAGCGGCGATACGCTGAAAACGCCGACAACACTAGTACTAAGTCAACATCGTGTATGAACATAATGTTGCCCCGCGCCGGGAGAAACGGCCTGATTTTATATCATCTACAACGGTGTTTAGTATACTTACGTCCGTTACCCCCTTTAATGCCATTGACATACACTTCCATAGTAGTGACGTATGACTCAAGATACACTCACGAGCATGATGCTCTAACACTTGGAATTCAACATCATAGACAATTATATAGCTGAAAATGAAGTATAAAGCCCCTCCTCGCTGCTCTCTAAAGAGACTCGTAAATCAAACCACACACACATATATCCATCATCTTAACTGAATCCTACGAACTCTCTATCATCTCTATACCTAAAACTTAGTTCCAACCCAACATTCACCATTTACAATGGCCAAGTTCGATAACAAAACCACAAGCGAGGATGTCTTCGAGGTCTTCGGATCGCAAATCAAAGGTCGCACCTTTGTCCTTACCGGTGCAGGCATGCCCAGCATTGGCTGCCAAACAGCTCTCACCTTAGCCAAAGGCTCGCCCGCGCATATTATACTTGTCTCTCGAACTCTGGAGAAGGCAGAGCCAGTGTTGCAGAAGATTGCCGAAATCGACAGCTCCATCAAGACTTCGTTCGTGCCCATAGAGCTATCCGACCAGGACTCCGTACGCCAAGGAGCTAAGGAGATCCTGGCCCAGGCCCCTAAAATCGATGTTCTTATCAACAGCGCCGGTGTGATGGCTATCAAGGAGTACACCGTCGACAAGAAGGGCATCGAGATGCAACTATCGACCAACCACGTAGGCCATTTCTTACTCACTAACCTACTCGTCCCTGGCTTGCTAGCTGCCGCATCCTCTTCTGGCGGAGCCCGCGTCGTCAACTTGACCAGCGCTGGCTATCTCGCCTCACCCTTCCGCTTCGACGACTACAATTTCTCCGGCGGCAAAACCTACAACATGTGGCTCGGCTACGCCCAGTCTAAGACGGCCAACATTCTCTTCTCCTACGGCCTGACGAAGCGCCTGGCAAGCCGCGGCGTCACGTCGACCGCTGTACACCCTGGCATGAACCTCGACACGGTCCTCGGATCTCACCTCAATGTGGAAGATTACGCCGAGATCCCCGCCGTCGCAAAGGCTACTACGGGCATTGACTGGAAGACCGAAGAGGTCAAGAACCTTTCGCAGATTGCCGCTACTTCGCTCATTGCGGCGCTCGACCCGGAGCTTCCCGCTAAGTCGCCCGCTTATTTACAGGATGGTGTCGTCTCTCCCGCCTTGACCCATGCAACTGATCCTGATAGTGTTGAGAAGCTGTGGAAGCTTAGCGAGGAGCTTGTTGGACAGGCCTTTGAGTACTAGATGTAGTTACGACAAGTAGGCTATAGAGAGGTACCTTAGTCAGATACTAGGTATGTAAGATGTTGAAATATTCAGGTGGCTGGGTGCAGTGGCTGATAGTATCCGCCCTACACCTGTGGCATATATGTATAATCTACATACAAGCACTTCCTATTGAATCCGCCGTATCTCATATCTTGCCATATACCTATTGAAGACTCTAAAATCATTGTTAAGTACTTGTATCCATATCTACCTCCCAACAGAATCAAAGTGTGTACTAGAAAGCTTCAACATCAGAGATCTTCAGTCTTACAGTTAGCCACAAATAGGGGGTTCACCACGATCTGAGTGAAAGTTAAAAAATATCAATGCCCACATCCTTTAATGCTACGTGACAGAGAGATCCGATCCCCATACCTTGCTCCAATCTCGGACGTGTCAGCACTTTAACTTCTATCAATGCTACCATCAACCGAGCAACCTCGGTTCAATAACACACTCTAATCTTTTGAGTGCACTCGGTTAGGTAGGTACCTACTTTCAATGATACTCGATAACACCAAAGGTCATGTCATGCTTTCCATGTGATTGGGACATGAAGATAGTATAACATTGCATCACCGAAAAGCTCAAAGGGCAGAAAGCTGTCTATTTCGTCAAATTTGTAATGCGAAAGTCGTATTGGGGGCCGCACTTCGCTCGTAGGATCCGCGGCTGCCGGTGTTACCGGCGTTGCCCGTCGCACGTAACAGCTTCCAGATACCCTATTTGTCGGTCTAATGCAACAGAGATAGTGGTATTTACAGGTCTCTACTGTTCCTAATTAGTTCGAAGCCAAGCCGCCTAAATACGCATTCGGCATTCGTTTACCCCAGACCAACACACTGGGAACCAGGTTAAGGGGGAAGCTCTCCTACTGTCATACTATATAGATATTTATATCACATTCTAGCTAGCTACTCAATAACGTACATATCCAGCTGCCCATTCAGGCTAATCTAACATGCCATAAACTTTGAGAGTGAATCTTTGACGGCACTTACCCCTGCCTCCTAACTGAAGTAGTAGGTAGGTAGGTAGGTTCTAGGTAATACAGCATTACTCACGCCTAAACATACCCAATTAATCGCGATGCGCAGCAGCCGCCAGATCGACGTCCGTATTGGGCCAGAACCGTGTAAGGTCGCCGAGAGGGAGGTTGAGGGTGATGCGCATCTCGCCCGCCATGATGATGACACACATGTACCATCCCAGCGACGCCACGACGAACAGCAGAGCTCCGCCAGCCTAGGTAATTAGCAAGTCAGCTAGCGCCAATACACATTGTCGAAGTGGATATGGATGCAATATACGAACCTTTTGCAAGTGAATCGCAGCCTCGAAATCGCCCGCCGCAAGCCTGAAGTACGAGCCGGAGAGGACCCACACCGCGCTTGTCGCGGAAGCGAAGATCATCGCGAACACGGCATTCACCTTCAACGTGAAGATGAAGAAGGTGAACAGCGCGAAGCCCCAGACGATGAGGTAGATGCCCACGACAGAGTTGTACTCGGGCGAGGCCATGCCGGTGGGGTCGCCGGCGGTGGCGTAGGGCTCGCCGAGCTGCAGCGTGGGCAGCGACATCAAGCCGAAGGAGAGCCAGAAGACGGCGTACAGGCCCATGGCCATCATGGGGAAGAAGTTGCCCATGATCCACTCGAACACCATGGAGAAGAGGAGCAGCACGGGGCCGACGAAGAAGAATATGCCGCTGGTGAGGATTGGTCAGTAGGTAGGTTAATTTAGCCGCGATAGACAGGGGTGTGGGTGGGTGGGAAAAGGGGGGCATCGAAATGTCAGGTGCAGATGGGGAATCCTTACGCCACGGGTGTTGTTCCTGACGCACCTCCCCATCCCATGAGGATGATTGAGAAGGTGAAGGTCGAGATCACGAATCTAAAAAGACATCAGTGTTTTGCTTGTATATCTTCGACGGTACTATGGACGTGAACTTACCCGACAATACCAAGAGGTGTCGGGTTAGCGAATCGTCGGTTGTAGTCGCCGACATGGGGCACTTTTGGCGTGAGGTACAGCTTAATCGAATCAGCAAACTGACGCAGTAGAGATGCCGCCCTCAAGCGATCTAGCTCACCTTCTCGAAGAGCTCCGGGGGCATCGTCACACTGGTTTCCGTCCGGTGCAACCCCTTCTCCTCATCATGATGGTTAAAGATAGGGTTCGTCATGATGGCTTAGGTATTTGTCAAGCTATAGTCTCTTAGATTGCCGACAAGACGGGAGGAAGCACGATTAGCAATGCTTAATAAAACAAACTGTTTTTGAAGAATAATCATCCAAACCAGGGGAATAGCTACCTACTTTCTCGACCTTTAATAGTCGGTTGCGCCGTGGCATTCTGCGTCGAACTCCGAATAGGCTGGAGTGCCAAAAAGATTTATTGCGTAGTTACATTCCCATATAATGCACCCCTTTCGCAAGTAACCATAATTGCCGGATCCTCTCGCCCTGCGTCCAATCACAGGGCCCCGCGCGCTTAGGATACCACGTCCCGCGGCGCGTATAGCTCCAGAGTACCGTTGTCTAGGCCCTCTGCCGAAAGGGCCAAGACCAGCCAATCTCCAAAATATACACAGCCGTGAATGCCACTCCGGTGCGGGGCCTGGCCGTAAGAAGCAGTTGGCAAGCCCTTTCCCATAAGTAACAAGCCCTTTTCCGTTCACTTGTTGTGAGGGCCATTTAAAATCGAATATAGAGGAGCTATTAGCCAATTGGTTGATATATAATGCTGAAATAAGGGACGACTAGCAAGGGAAACTGGAAGGTGGCACGCTTCCGCCGAGCTCACTATCAGGATACCGAATGGGCAGTGTTGTGGCTCAGGGCCTTCATCGGTCTGTTCTTCGATATGGCTTACTATTGGGGCTTGACCGAGAACGTAAGGTGAAACAGGTTAATTGATACCGATTACAGAATTCGGGGCGCCATGGCCTTGGTTACCTAGGGGAATAGAGGCTTGCCCTCCCAAAAACGTTATCTCAGCGTGGTCTCAGTGATACACAGCTGAGAGGTATATCATCCATCAGTCATCCAAAAATGGATACTACTTGACGTTTTCAGCCGTGGCTGTATAATGACAAGGCGCAATTACGGACATTACGGGCATATGGAAAGTCAGCCCATTCCTTTCCGCAAGTCGCCAATCTGAGTTAATCTTCAACGAGCCGGAATGCAACGTCATGTGAGCCGCCAATTCCGGGTATCATCATAAGAGCTTCTTCCTAGCACGTACTTAGGCTGTCGAACCAGCTGTCATTTGTGTCAGGGACAACATCTTATTTTTTTCTTGCAAATAATTCCTAATTTCATAGTAGAATCGAAAAGATCACATGTGAAGACGAGCCACCAGCCAACATGACAACTCAGAGATAGATATGTCGGGTCCGCCCAAGCTGTTGAAACACTGAGTACCTAGGTAGGTTAGAGGTCTTCGTTAAATCATACCTATCAGGCAGGTGATGGCCAACGGGCAATCACATGCAAGATTGTGAAATGAATGCCTACCTACATATGGCACCTAAGTGTGTTGTCACTTATCATCACTTGAGTTAACACAGCCCTATCAAGCAGATCTACGCAATAGTTTACGATGAGATAACGGCTAACCGGCTACCCAGTGCTTGTTGATTGTCTGTGTATGCTCTGCTCTTTTACCCCCACGCTGGAGCATGTTAAGATGCCTGCCTGCCTGCCGCATCCAGCCTCCTGCACGATGTCGTGATGGATGCCAATGCAAAGTTAATCGCAGAGCCGCCGTTAACTACCGGGTGGGTATCGAATCAGAGAGTCTGTAGACTGGTCCTAATACCACGCTGGCTAGATCTACCAGTTCGTTCGTGAGGTTGATAAGCATTAGGTAAAAGTTGCATAATTTGAGCATTCCTATTTCATGAGGTGAGGATAGGTACCCAGCCGGATAACCAGATCGAGGTTGGTATCTACATTAGGAATGATGATATTGACCTTCTTGATGCGTACTTCAATCCTCGTGCTCGGGGGTGTCTATCTTGCCAGCAGGACTAAGTACATCTAACTAACCTATCCCAAATGGGTTATCCGCATGGGTATCACGTGGATCAACGGACTCTGGGAAGTAAATCATATGACTTGGATCAAACAAGAGTAGACGAGGCAGTGTGACCCAAGCGTGGGACGCTCGCCTGCAAGCAACATATATTATTATCCCTAGTTCCTGGTAACTCATGTTATATATGGCTTGAACCTCTTCCCCGCATGCGCATACCACTTGGAAGATTCATCCATCTTGTCCCCCTAACCTACATAACCAGACCTACCCCCTTAAGGTACCATACGGACTTGCCAGACGTTCTGTCATGAATGGGACCCCCCCTTTGACACTCAACAAACAAGGCCTGGTGTTGCAGGTGCCTGAGGCATCATAGGCTCCACTATGCCATATATTGGCACTCCACCAGTGTAGTCAGGGATAAAGCAAGCTTATTCTTTCATCGTCCTTCGTTTTGGTTGCAGCAATACTGCAACACCTGGTTAATCATCTCGGCTACCATCCTAGGGGGCTCGATTATGGCATCTGATGGCCTTCGATGAATTCACAAGGAGTATATCCCAAATAGTTTCCCAGGTAATCAATCATTCCCATCACGGTAGCAATCGAAAGCGGCCAACTAACTTCCGCCTCTACTATTAGACGCCATCTGTTGCAGCTTCTGCTGCAACCATGAAGAAGAGGAAAGGAAGAATGCTTGCTTGATTCCTAACTACAGCGGCGGAGTGCCAACATATGGCCATATGACTCTAGTGGATTCTATGGTGCCTCAGGCACCTGCAACACCATCATTGCTAAAATGCATCGAATGCTCGGGCAGTCACCTATTATGCTTCTTAAAAGTTAGCCCATTATCCCGCATGTGGTCATAGTTGCTAGCCATGAAGTCGCTAAACAAGTACGGAATCTATGACTCTGGGTTCGTCTATTGACCAGTCACAAGACCAAGGAACTGAAAGCAGCCCAACTGAGTGTCAGCCCAGACTTCGCACCCCGATATCTGATGACTCTTCCGGCCGTCAGTACACGGAAAGCTAAATCACATCTACGAATTATTAACAAGTTACCCCGTATTAGGGAGCCATAACAGCTTGACCAAGTAGCCACAGATCCAATATTCGACATCATCGAAGCGTTATTAGGTGCCTACCTAAGTACCTAGGCTATGGATGAAGACACGGGGGCTCGTCGCCTAGATCCATCTCTCCAGGATGGACTCGCCCGCAAGTTCAAGACAGTATCTGGGACTGCGTACCTACCAGAGGATCAGCCCCAGAGGCGTAGAACTATCACGCAATGAAACATTTTCAAGTGATGGACTTCGACTGCCTTGGTCGCTACCATCCCGGGGTCTCCATAAGACGGGTGCATTCAGGGAGCTACACCTTACAGCAACTCGGAGGTATGATGTCTCGAAACGTCAAAGGAACGAAAGCTAGAGCACACCAAGACGAGTTCTATGAGTTGTGCTGAAGCATGTTGGCCCTTACCCTACGTACAAGATATCTAATTGCGTACCGCCTGAGGCGACGGAACAGACGTCTGACGAGCTAAAGACATTTCTGCCTTGTGGATGGCATACCACAAGGACCGCGATTACTTGGATTATCCACGAGATAGACCGAGCACCACACGCCTTCAAGACTGTGTACGCGAAGCTAAACAGTATCAGATATCTCTGGTCCAGGTACTGCACGAGATCTAGCCACCATCCGCAAGCTATTATCCCCTATCTATATCTCAACCACCATTAAATCATCGTGGCTGTGATATAAGTCAGAGCTGCAGCTGATTATTTCGTTCCCAGGCGCCAAGTTACCTAGGTGTGGATAAAGACTTCTGACAAGCGATTAACGTCGTAGGCTAGTTCAAGGTTGAGTCAGAGTTAGGTGCCTATACATACCTACCTAAGGTTTAAAGGTTGTACGCTGAGAATGACTCTATATTATATCAAGACAGCGGACTTGAATGACAACTTGGTACCTAAACCTCTTCAGGAACTATCAATCACCAGCTTTCTCTATAGCCTCACCAAGTACCCAATATGCACCAGTGCATCGCTCATTCTTTAGGGTGCAAGTCCAAGGGTGAACAGGGAGAGCCTAGATGTTAACCCCTGAATGATGACGGCAACCCTCTAATCGCCGTGTGAACAAGAGGCCACCATTTCGAGGCGAGTATACGATCAATTGCATGTGGAAGTTCTTAAAATCATCTCTATGGTCTATCATTTGCCTTGGATATGTGCTTTGCTTTCCTTCATATCCAGGGGGTGTGAGACGCGGCAGGTGCTGTACAAGTCCCTTATGCTACGCAAACACCATTTCAAGCCTTACATTAGGTGTAGTATACCTGTGCATGGGCCATAACGTCGGTGCAGAAGCTTGGAGTTTATATTATCACGATGTAACTTCCTCCTAGAGCTACCTATACCTACCATTTATATTCGCTAGGCATCCTAGCCGCGAGCAACGACAAAAGTTACCTGGGCAGCCAGAGTCAGAAGAAAGCGCAGCCCCTCGAGCTGTCCTGAAGCCAGACGGGCATGTACCATATGATATACAGATGTCAAACCAACAACGCCTCTGTCACTTGAACAGCGTCGTATACTAGCATCGAGATTCAAAGACGATATGCCGCCGGGGTTACCTAATATGGCTGTTCTCGAGTCTGCCCGAAGCTTCTGCGAAAACAATCTTCCAGCAATAAAAGCTTCGATATTGATCCAGGCCATCGATGGTGAAGATGGTGATCCTACGGAGAACATGATGGACATACCAATGCTCTACGATACAGGAGCACAAGCCACAACAACCTCGGAAGAGCTGCCGAGTCCCAACAATTCCTTACTTCTCAAACTCCTCAACAGCCTCAATTGGCACAGGTTACAGCCAACAATATTCGGTTTACTAACACTGCTATTTCTTTGAATCTCATCGCAATTGTACGACCAAAGGAAGCGATGCCGAATCATTTCAACAGGGTGATTCTAGGCCAAAAAGGAGCAACGGACCAAGAAACTTCCTCCCGCACTTGTCGGGGGGGTTTGGAGTGAAATTCGAATCACTAGCGTCTACGATGTAATTCTAGAGGAAGTCAGGGATCCTAGGAGATTGTGACCACCCGCCACGATGAATCAGCAAGCACCTTCGTGCTGTCCACGGTATGTTCGTCTTTGCACCCCTCTGGGCGATTGCTCCAGGGGGGGGCTGGTTAGTGGGAATGATCATTCCCCCTTTTTTAGCTTCCAGGTGACGGCAAACTCCTACGCAGACGGTATCTTTCCTCTGCAAATCAAACTAACTATATTTCACTGATGGGTGTCCGTATATACCTATGTACTA